ACACACACACACAAACACAGTCCCCTGCCCCAAGCCACCAGGGACAGTCCCATGAAGATGCTGGACTGGAGCGAGGGTGGGGAAATTACTTCTCCCCCAAAGCCCGCTGGCTGCTGTGGTGTCTGAGAGGAGGCTGACACCCCTCCCTCCCTCCCTTCCTACAGGCAGCATCCCAAGGTTGTTTGTGTGGGGGTGTGCAGGGGAGGCCAGATTTCCAAGTAACTGATTCCCATCTCCCAGGGACATTGTGTCCACAGCTCCTTCTGGCAGGAGAGGGAAGATGAACATTCCAGGCCCCAGTCTCATTCTGAAAGCAAAGGAATGTTTCCCGTTGTGCTGGCTACAAGGCGACTCTGTGCTTGGCTACAGCGTGACTGCTCTGAGCAAGTCTGGGCTCGGCTCACACCAAACTCTGGACTTAAGCCACCGGGAAATCTACACTTGGATGCAACATTAACTGAGCTTGGAGAGACAATGAAATCGCACTTGGATACAACATAACTGAGACAAGATACAACATTGAAATTGTACTGGATACAATGAAACGATGTGTTTAGACACCAGTTCAGCCACAGTGCAAAGTTACTGAGCCGAATCGCAACTGAGCTTGGTCTCTGGCTGTGGCTACGTCACCAGATTCAACTACAACATAGGCTTACTGGATACTAAGTGATACCTAGCTAGGCTTGGCTACAATGTAGCTCTGAGTTTGGCTACCAACAGGACAGTGGCCAGCTACAGTTTAGCTGCCTCCTTGATTGCAGTGTGATTAAGCTTTCCTACAATATGGAAACATGAGGCGTCAGATATGGCCAAACAGTTGCCACCAAACTGTTGTGCGACCAGAGAAAACGGGGGCCTGTCCTTGGCTACAATGTAATTGAACTTAGCCCTGATGGGGATGTGAACTCCATCGTCTCTGCACTTGGGGCCACAGCGCAAACCTATTTAACCACCGTGTGGTTCTTAGCTTGTCCCAGCCTGGTTGTGCCTGTAGAATTATGTGGCTCTGGGCTTAGAGAATAGTACAACCTTCCACTTACTATCACGCATTGACCTGGACTACAAGGTGGTGTGTGTGCTTGTGGTAAAATTGTGTTTAGCTTCGAATAGGCCTAACCGCTCTCAAGCACACAGCAACTGATTGCAACTGCACTGTAATTACTGTCCTGTGGTTGTTTCACTCCACGGTCACAAACACACACTTCTGCCTACCGTAGCCCAGACCCCAGACCCACTCCTTGGATGACAGGCTCATTCCTCCCTCCACACACCCAGCAATTTTTGGATGGAGTTGACTTTTCTGAAAGCCATGGAGAAATCCAGCATGTTCCACCTACCTTCACACCCCGAGGTCCAGGATAGCCCGGGGGGCCTGCTGACCCTAGTGGACCCTGAAATGGAGATGAAGTCAGTGCCCTCCTCTCTCACCCCTGGTGACCCTCCAACTCCTGGCCCTGCCAACCAGCCCTCACCCCCAGCCCAGCCTTTCCCTCAGCATCTCACCTGAGCCCCCTTCTCTCCTGCGGGGCCTTCGTGGCCTGGGTGACCCTAAGAGGAAGAACATACTCAATGATCCAGGACCCAGATGTTCAGTTTTTAGTCCAGATTCCAAAGTCCACCTCTTCCTTCTGCTTCCTATCCCTAGCTCCCACCCAGCTTTACTCAGTCCCCACTTCTCACCGGAGGCCCATCCGCTCCTGGAAGACCGAGTATTCCTGGATTCCCAGGAGGGCCCTGAAACAAGATGCAGAGTGAGGGGAAGATGGGTGGTCCCCCACATGCCATTGGCTCTGCTCAGACATGCAGCTACTTCAAGGTGAGAGAAGTCAACACCAGCGGTCAGGAAATCTATTCCCGGCCCTGTCCAGATGTGCTATGTGATCTTGGGGAAGCCCTCCTCCCCTTTTCCAGAGCCTGGGAAGTCTCTGTCTCTAGAGAATTAAGAGACGGGATGTAGAGCCAGGGTGATAGACACACTGGGGTGGCAGAGGATTCCCAGCACACCCCTAGCCTTAGATGTGCCTCCCACTCTCATGTGCTTCTACTGCAGAGGGGTGGAGCTAGGCAGTCTGAGGGAGCCCCCTGTATCCTGCAAACAGCTAGCAGGTCCCAAGGTGGGCAGCATGACCCAGCTAAGCCAATCAGATTCCTTCCTGGATTTTGAACTACGAGAAAGTATGATCAGACCAATTTGATCTTAGCGAGGTGGTGAGGCAGGTCAGGGTGGTACAGAAACAGAAGTGGAGGGTGAGGACCAGCTACGACAGGTGCAGAAAGACGCATACCTGCCAAAGATGGAAACAGGAGCGCAAGGAGGAGACCACAGGGCCCCAGAGAGAGAGAGAAAGCTCTGTCCTGTCCCCTGAGCGCTGGGAATGCTTTCTGACGATATCAGCTGGCCTTGCTGGGTCTCTGCTTCTTACAACCCATCCTCTCCCAGCAGTGACCCTTTGTAACCCTCGCTTGTTGAGCGTTTGAGCTAATGGAAACAGCCCTGGTGGGAAGCTTTTCCTGGAGGCAAGGAAGCCTTTCCGGGAAGCATTATAAATGGAGCTGTCACTCACCTTCTCCCCAGGAATGCCAATGAGTCCTTGGGGGCCAGGGATCCCCTGGAGACACAAACATTAGAAGGGAAGGAAAGGTCAGTAAGGGCTGAGGCCGGGAGAATCGGGGGCTCGTCCAGAGGCTTGGCTGACCATCGCTCGCCCTGCCCCACACTCGTTACCGAGAAAGCGCTCAAACCTGGGACCCAGGGTTTCCCTGCTGTCCTGGAGGGCCTGGTTCTCCTGGAGGGCCCTGGGGGGAGGAAGAAGGGGTTTGGTGGAAGGGCTCTTGGTATGGAGGTGACTGAGGCTGAAATGGGGGGCATGGGAGTGGATGAGGGCAGGGATTGTTACAGAGGGAAAGAGGGATCCGTGAAGAGCCATACGGCCCGAGTGTCCAGAAGGTTCAAAGGTTGGACACCTACCGCGTTCCCTTTGGCACCTGGCGCACCATTGATCCCGAATGCACCCTGGGGAGAGAGAAGGTGTGGCACCAAGACCAGGAGACACTGAGGCATGCAGGTGGAGAGGGAAGGATGCACCGAGGAGAGGGTTAAGAGAGGCACGGGCAAGTATGCAGGGGGACAGCACAGCTTACCGGACGTCCTGGGGGGCCAGGAGAGCCCCTGGGGCCAATCAGTCCTCGGGGGCCCTGCAAGAATCTCAGCATCACCTCTGGGCTTTGTTCAGAGGTCCCAAGAGTCGTGACTCCCTCCCCTACGCCAAACCCAGGGCGTTCATGACACTCACCGGCTCCCCAGCCTGGCCAGTGGGCCCTGAAGGTCCTTTTGCTCCCTGTGGAAAAGCATCACCACTTGGAGACGAGGGGGAGGCACCGTCCTTGGGGAGCCATGTCCCTCTCTCATCGGGACAGCCCCTGCTTTGCATCACGCTGAGTCAGTGCCCGAGGCAGGATGCAGCAGCAGGAGTCCATGTGATTCCATTCTGGTCCCTGACTCCAATCCTGTGTCCCCCAGCCTCACCGCCCCACTCCAAAAATAGACCATCTCCCTCCAGCCTGCAAAGCTCTGTAGCCCACGCCCTCCGCCTTCACCCATCCCCTGATGCCTCTACTCCTCTCTGACTCTCCTGGCTCCCGAGCCGCCAATCTGTCCCCACACTGACCTTCTCGCCATCCTCTCCTGGAGGACCAGGCTGCCCCACATGGCCAAAGTCACCCTGGAAGGGAGATCGGAGGAGAGTCCGGAGTCGGGGCCAACCCCTCGGGAAAGTAGCTTAGGCCTGAGGGGGTGAGAACTCAGGCCCAGGGATAAAGCGGTGACAGTGGGCGTAGAAGGGAGGGCTTAACTATTAGAAGGGGGCTTGAGCACAAGGGAGGGGCCGTGGACACTCACCCTTTGGCCCTTCTCGCCGGGCAACCCTGGCAGGCCATCAAAGCCACGATCACCCTGTCCAAAGAGACGCCAACTGAACTCCCGCCCTCAACCCCGACAGTTCCCACGCCCCAGGACTGACCCCGTTCGTTCATTACCTTGGGTCCTGTGTCCCCTGGGAGACCCCGAGCTCCATCTGCTCCAGAGCGACCCTATGGAAGAGGTGAGTCCAAGGATTAAGCATCAACCCCACCTCTAATCCTATCCAAGACAGGGACCCTCTACGGAATTATGCACAACATCAGGGCGATGCTTGCTGCCCTTTCCTCGGTACCTTCTTCAGACAGATTCCCAGGAGGGGTTCCTCAGGTAGAATGTAGCCTCCTAAGCAGAACGCGGGCTCATGCCCTAATCTGTTATCCCCGGTGCCCTGGCTTTCACCCAAACCATCACCGTCACCAAAAGGAAGAGCCCTGTACGTCCTCACACGTGCAACACTTTGGGAGCCTCTCGTTCACCATTTCCCGCAATGCGCCAAGCTCTTCCTTTGCAAACGTTGCTTCTTCTGCTTGGAACGCTCTTCTCTTTCGCGTGCACTTGGCTAACCCTCTTTCAGCGGTTCAACTACCTCTCTCTCTCTGCCAGGAGCTTTCTAACGCAGTCCAATGACGGGTGCAAATTCCTTCAGCGAAGAGTTGAAGCCACCCCCTTCCCTCGGTGCTCTCATCCCACCAATGACACCGGCAGACTCCGCAGCAGAGCGCTGGACACTGAGAGATGTGCAAAACGTAACCGAGATAGCTCGACGTCACTCACCATCTTGCCTTCTCGGCCGGGCGGGCCACGGGGGCCCTGGAGGCCTCGGGGACCCTGGAAAAGGAGGAGGAGAAAGAGGGAAGAGCCCCTTTAGGCCATTCCTTGGGAAAGGCAATAGTTGGTAGGGTACAGATCTCCAGTCTCTTGGTCACTTTCCCTTGGCAGCCCCTTATCCTTGGGCCCTGGAGGAAGAACTCCCCCCCACCCCAATCTTGCGCCCACCCCCACCAATCTCACCTGTGGTCCAATTTCTCCCACCTCTCCTTTCAGGCCTGGATACCCAGGGAGACCCTTGGAGAAGGATGGGGGGTGGAGAAGGAGTTCAGTTAGAAGGAGGTGACCCTTCTGCACACCCTACTCCACATGCCTCTTTACTCACCATGGGGCCTGGGCGCCCAGTGAGTCCCACGGGACCAGGGGGACCTTTCATGGAGAGCTGTAGACACAAAAGAGAATAGAGCCTCAGGTCTCCTTCAAGACCCCCAACCTCGCCCACAAAGGCATGCCCAGGAAACAAGCATCCCTCTGTGTTCTGACAGCCCTTCTTTACGTGCCCCCCCTTCCCTGCCGGTCAATGAGCTATCCTCCCCCCAGCTCCCCCACTCACCTGAGCCTGCTGCAGGACGGCCTGAGCCTGAGCCTGCTGGAAGGAGACTGAGGGCCCTTTGATGGACGCGCTGCTTGTAAACTGGAACTGGGGAGCAACTTGTGGTGAGGGGGACCCCCAAGGAGAGGCCCACCCCTGGGTCAGGACCCCACCCGCTAAGACTGTGCCTCCCTATCTCCCTCTTTGGGATTTCCGCCCAATGTGAAACCACTGTGCCACCAGGGTGCCTTCCGAACTCCTTCGTACCGGCATCATGATCACAGTGCCTGGTAGACCCCGGATCCCGTCGACGCCAGGAGTCCCTGAGAGGCCAGCGGGGCCCTGAGAGAGGGGGAGACAAGGACATGAAGGAAAGGATGGCAACAGAAATACACAGAGAAACAATGGGGGTGGATGCGCAGAGGGAGAAGCAGAGGAGAGGGGAGAGGGGAGGGGAGAGAGATGGGCACAGAGAAAGGGTCATGGAAAGTGAGCAAGAACAAAACGGGCAATGACAAAGAGGGGTGATGAGCAAGGGACGGGCTCGGCAGAGAGATGACAGAGATAGAGAGACGGAAGATGCAGATGGACAGGAAGGGCGCTTCGAGGTGAATAAGAGCACGTCAAAAAAGGAGCCAGAGAGAGAATTCGTGGACGGGGAGAGAGATGGGTTTGAGATCCAGGGCAGTGTCTCCAGTCTCGGCCCTGGGGACCACGTGCAGGCCTCCTTGCTCCCAATCTAAATACCTCACCTCTTCAGATGATTACACCCCAAGGGGAGCTCCTTACCGGTAGCCCGGGGTCCCCAGGAAATCCCGGGGGACCAGGAGGGCCTGAGGGACCGTCTGACCCCTGTTAGAGACAGAAAAACGGAAGTCACAGGAAGTTCAAGGTTTGAGCCAGGTTGACATCTGGCCCACCATTGACAGGGACCCCACACAGACCCCCTCCACTCCACCATCCATTGGACTCAACTCCTCCATATGAAGCTGACCTACATCGACCCCAAACTTACACTCCAGTGCCTGCTCTGATTCATGTCAGACCATCAGGCAGCAGTACACTCCAACTCCTGCCGGAAGGTCACAGCACCACCACCCCCCACCCCCCACCCTCCCCGGGAGGAAAGGACCCCGAGAACGAAGGGAAAATGCCATGACTCACCCTGGGTCCTGGGGCTCCTGGAGGTCCCTCAAACTGCTGCCCCTGAAGGAAGAGATGAGTGTCATCCCCAGGATAGCCCTCAACACCCCTCAACTTCTTGCAAGCCCCCAGCCCCTTCACCTGCTCAACTACCGCGGGTTCTCCTTTGGCCCCCTTCTCTCCGGCATCCTAGAGAAGAGGGGTGGAGAGGGAAGAGACGTGAACCACGGACCCCTCAGGGACCCAGCCTCACACTCATCTTCTGCAGCCCCTTCTCACACACAGAGGGACCACCCTCAGAGCTGGACTTGCTACCCTTTCTTCAAGCAGCATCCCCCTGCAGGGCTGCCCTGAACTAAGGAGCATGAACTCTAGATCCTGGTGCCTGCTCTGACTCCCGGGTCTCTCACTTACTTAGCTGAATGATGATACTGGCCAGCTTCCCCCGACACACACACACACCCTTGTCCTCATCTGTAAGGTCCGTGGGCAAATGAGGGTCCTACATGCCCCGTATGAGGATGAAGAAATAAAAACGATGTCTGGCACCAAGAGCAAATTAGTTATGGTCATTTACTTCTCCCCCTCTCTAATACCAAAGCTAGAGGCTAGGTGCTCTTCTTTGGCTGGGTTTTCCATTATTTACTTGTACCGTTTGCTCTCACTTTTGTTGTTGTTGTTTGACCCAAGGCGGTTTTATTTTAAGTTCATAGAAAAGTTACATTATTAATTCCATTATTTTCCACAAGTTTTTGAAGGCCCCTTGTATACAGAAGAACAGTGATGTCCACATGTACATTTTCATAATGCTGACTGCATCTTTGAGCTGTGCAACCATTCTCAGCATCCTTTCCCAAGGTGCTCCTCGTCAGTGAACTCACTGTTCCTTAAGGTTCTGATCTAATCTTTTGAGTTGCTGTTATCAGTCTGGTCCCATTAACACATGCTCACACACACACACACACACACACACACACACACACTGCCATTGAGTCAATTCTGTCTCATGGAGACCCTCAGGACAGGGTAGAGCTGCCCCCATGGGTTTCCAAGACTGTAACTCTTTTCAGGAAGAGAGAGCCTCATCTTTCTCCCACAGAGTGCCTGGAGGTTTTGAACTGCTGACCTTGTGGTTAGGAGCCCCCCACGCAGCACACTACGCCACCAGGGCTCCTTGGTGGCCTAGAGATAGATCTTTAATGAACACAATGTGCTCTCAAAGCAGATATTCTTTACCAGGTAGGCTATGCGAGTGCTTATTTCTGAGAAGATTTGGGGGAATCGTTTGAGTTTGAGATTTGTAGAGGATCTCAGAGCAACTGTTTCAAGGGATCAGCCAGACTCCGTAAGTCCTCAGAGTCTGGATTCCCTGGGAATTGGAAGATCTGTCCTGCCTCCTCCCAACCTCACTTGGTATATATTATTTTCTTAGGCAGTTTCATCCCATCCTTTGGTTAACGATACCATTTCTGGATTAATGAGTCTCAAAGGTTTATCTCCAGCCTAGACCAGAGTCCTGAACTCCACAATCTCCTAACAAGCCATCCGCTTGACATCCCTACCTGGATGCCAAATAGGCGCCTTCCATTTTAGAGGTGCACAAAGAGGCCCTGGACATTCTTCTTTTGCCCCTTCATTAGGCTTCCCCATCTTGATCAGGGGTCCCCTGGGCCTCGACCCAGTCGTCCTTGCAACGTCCTCCTCATCCCACAGCCAAAAGACAGCCCACGCCCCCCCACCTACTGCTCCCCCTCTCCAACAGCAGCCCCCTCGCCCAGCTCACCACACCCTCTCGCCCCACCAGTTGCTATTGAGTTGGTCCTAACCCATAGCCACCTCCCCTGGTTGTGTCAGAGCCCCCCTGGGATCTTAGGGTTCGTGATGGCTGGGTTTTCAGAAGTATATGGCCAACCTTTTCTTCAGTGAGCCCCCGTGGGTGGACTTGAACAATCCACCCTTAGGGTTGCCGCTGAAGGCATGGGCTGGTTCTCCAGGTTTCTCTGTGCCCCTCTGGCTCCCCCTACAGTTCACTTGCCATTGAGCAGCCAGCGGGAGCTTTCAAAAATCGTTCCCACACCCTGGGCCATCCCAGTGCCTTCCCACCCTGCTCAGACTTAGAGCCAAACTCAGCCAGGAGCACAACGCCCTTCCCCATGTCAGCACTCAGGAAATATGTGTCGGCTGTACTGGGGTGGAGGAATCCACAGGAGGCCAGAGAGAGCACGTGGCCTCGTGTGTGTCTCCATGAGTGACACTCGTCCCCTGCCCCTGATGCGGCCACCCCCGCTCACAGGGAAAATCTGGAACTGGGTCATTGATGACTGCTCGGCTGCACGGAAGAGGGGGCCCATGGCGAGGCTGTCTCCTTCCTCCCCCTCCGTCTTCAGGGTCTCCGGTTCAGCATCAATGTCAGGGTCCGGGGCTTCCTGAGGATAGTCGGGCAGAATGAACATGTCGCTTGGCCTCCTCTATCATCCCCCTCTGATCCAGCCTACCCTTCCAGCCCTGTCCTCTGCCCACCCACCTGCAGTATGGGGACGCTGTGGTCAGCAGACACCGTGGTGGAGACCACCAGAGGAGGCATGGAGGCTGGAGGCAGAGCTGGGGGTGGTGTGGCGGTCTTGGGGGTGTCCGCAGAGGTCTGGAGCCGAGACAGAGGGTGCGTCAGGTCTGGGGGACAGGGTTCAATCGAGACAAACAACAATCACCGCAAAAGCTCCCTGCCATCGAGTCGATGCCAGCACATACCCTATGGGACAGGGGGCAGCTGCCCTCCCCACCGTGAGTCTCCGAGCCTGCAGCTCTTTGCAGGAGCAGAAAGCCTCATCTTTCTCCCTCACAGCAGGCGGTGGTTTCGAACTGCCGACCTTGCAGTTGGCAAGGTCACTATCCCACAAAGGAGAGGCAAAAGAGGAGGAGACAAGCCTGCCCCTGGGAACTCCCAGTCTGGGAAGAGGGGTAGAACCTTCCCAAGGAACATGGAAAGGGTTTAGGGTCGGAGCTGCCCAGTGAAGGCAAAGGTCAAGGTGTGCTGGCTGGACCAGAGGAGCCAGCAGGGGGAGCATCAGGGATGAAGGAGAGGCCGGGCTGGGTCAGGTCCCAGAGGCCAGGGAGGCAGAGGGAGCTGGCTCCAGAGTCCAGTAGTCAAAGTCAAGGTCCAGAACTCAGGGCCAGACTCCCGGAAGCCCATCTCACATGTCCAGTCCCAAGGCACATCTCAGCAGTCAGCCAGCCAGGCCCCAGGCAGAGAGGGCGTGGTAGCTCCTCCCAGCATGACCAGCTGCAGAGGAACTGGGTCAAAGCAGATAAAAACGGGTGGCAGGGGCCCAGGTGAGGGACCGGGGCTGAGGAGGGAGGTGGGGAGGCACCGGTTTATTGCTGGGGGTCTGTGTCCCCAGCCTAAAGTGATAACCTCTTTGCCCCATAAACACTGAGGGTAGAAGTAGGAAAACTAGTGACCCCTTCCCCTGTGAAAGGCCTTCCAGCTAGTGGCTCCCCCTGTCCCTCCTGCCCAGTGCCCCCAATCAATGGCTCAAAGCAGTGGCCCCTAGACAATTCTATCTATAACTAGTGACTTCCACTCATAACCCACAGCCAATGACCCCCAACTAATAATCCCCAGGGACTCCAAGAAGTACCCCTCATCGGCGACTCACAAACAACAACCCACCTCAATGGACCCCCAAGAACTTGACCATATGTGACTCCCCAGTGAATGACCCAACTTGGGTGGGGGGAGGGTAAAAAGAGGAGTTGATGCCAAGGGTTCAATAGACAGTCAGTAGCTAGAAAGGAGTGACGGCACCATATGTACAAATATGCTTGATCCAATTGATGCATAAGATGTTATAAGGGTTGTAAGAGCCCCAAAGAAAATGATCTTTTCATTTGAAAAAAGAATCAATTAAAAAAATTAATGAACGACCCAATCAATGAGCTCTCCCAGGAGCCCCCGCAAGAGCCCCTCCAACCAACTTCCATCAATGACCCCCTAATCATTTTTCTTCCAATCAAGGATCCCCCCCTAAGCAATGAGTACCCCAAGTGGGCCCTGATCAATGACCCCCAAACAGAATTCTTCGGTCCAATGGCCTTCTAACTAATAACCCTCCACCAATAACCCTTAACTAAGAAGTCACTGACCTACTGATCCCCAAGATTGACCCCAAGCACTAAGCCTAACCTAGCAGCACAGGAAAGGCGAACAGCAGCCTCATCAATGACCTCCAACAGTCAATACCAAACAGTAAATTCCCAAACCTGGATCTCAATCAATAAACCCTCCACCAGATATGTCCGATCAGGGAAGCCAAACAGTACTCCCAGTGGCGCCCCCCTCAACGAATAACTCTCACCTTGAACTCGCAACAATGATACACTAACAAATGCACCCAGCATCCCTGGCCCCCAGCTAATGACACTCTCTAAACGGGGACACCCACCAAGATCGCCCTAACAATCAGATACTTATCGTAATCTGTCCCCTCTCTCTAGCTGCCCAGGACTAGAAGTGGGGTGGGGAAAGGTGGGCGAGCTTATAAGCTAGAACCAGCCCCCGCACGGTCATCAATCAACTCAGAAGCTGGAGGTCAGGGGTTGGAGACCAGCAGTAGAACCAGGAATGAGGAAGCAGAGGTCAGTGGGGATCTGGGGTCAGAAGTCAGAAGTGGTCACAGAGCAGAAGTGAGAGGCCAGCAGTGCTTTACCTGGTTCTCCAGGGAGGCAGGAGTTGGACTCAAGGTCACAGTGTCCTTGTTCTTCTTCTTCCTGCCCTTCCCCTTGCGACCTCGGCCTTTCTTCTTCCCCTTCCCCTTCTTTCGGGGAGCGGGGGTTCCTGGCTCACCCTGGAGGGGCTGGAAAGCAAGCCTCAGTCAGGTCCAGGGCTCTCTCGGGTGCCACTTCCCCAGTGGACGTCCTCGGGACCACTAAGTGGGGCCATGCTGGCCAGGGCTGGCCAGGAGTCCACTGTTCCTGCGTTGTTGTTGTTGTTTTTCTTTTTAAATCATTTTATTGGGGGCTCGTACAATTCTTATCACAATCCATTTCCTGTGTTCAGAGGCCAGGGTTTACTCAGCCCGGTGGCATGGGGTCAAGGTCAATCATGAATTCCACCCAAGGTCAGAGTCCCTCCTTTGTGTGGCCTGGGTCAAGGAACACGCAGGAGGGTGAGAGCTCACTAAGCCTTCTGTTTGGGGTTCAGAATCCACCGCTTCCTGGAACGTGGGGCCAGGGTTCAGAGGCTGTCTCAGTTTGCACCCTCGGGTCTGCAGGAACCCACACAGCCCCTCACTCACCGCTGCCGCTGAGGGGTCCGGGGCGTCACAGCCAGGAAGGTACTGCTCGCAGGCCTGGAAGGCTGCCTGAGGGTCTGGGTGTATCAGCAGCTCCTGAATCTCTCCCTGGAGGGGGGAGGAGGATGGGGGACACATGCTGACATGGATCCCATTCCTGCCCGCCCCCCAAGCTCCAAGGCTTGATGTTTCCCTACCCAGGGCTCCCAAAGTATAAGGCGAGGGTAGCCCCATGACAGCAGGCTCTCTGGCCCCTGAAGTGGAGAAAAGACAGAGCCCAACCCTCTCCTCACAACATCGGTCTCCTCACCAAGACCACACGGGCCCCTTCTCTCTAAGGCCCAGAGTAAGCTTCACTCGGGGAGGAAGGGCTCCCATGTGTGTTCTCCTCTGCCCCAACTCTTCCCACCGGCCTCCTCCATCTGACTACCATCCTTTCTCATGACCTCCCTTTGAACTTCCACCTACGACCTCCTCCCTCTAGCCTCCTCCTCTGACCGTGGTTACCCATGACCTCCTCTTCCTGACTACCATCCCTTCCGACCTTCTCCCTCTGAATGTTTACCTATGACCTCCTGCCTCTAGCCTCCTCTGCTGACCACCATCACCCATGACCTTCTCCCTCTGACCATCACCTCCCCTGACCTCCTCCCTTGGATCACCTTCTTGACCATGATCGCCTACGACCTTTCTCCCTCTGACACCACACCCTCTGATATATGTCAGCTACCCTTCTAGGGCCTGGGATAAAGAAGTGACAGATGAGGTCCTGGGCCTCCAAGACATGACACTCATCACAGTCACACACACTTACACTGTCATGACCAGCAAGAGTCACCACCACACTAGAAACGCATCCACCTACAGCCGCTGTCACCCAACACCATACCTGGAGACCCCAGGGGCCACGCCCACACCCACAGAGTCCCACGCCGTCCTCGTAACCACAGCGCCCTCCTCACCAGCACCTCCCAGCCACGCAGGCAACGGCCTTCACTTCCCACCTGCAGCTCCGTGGTTCTCCACCTGCACGCCCTCACACTCCAGCAGGGGCCCCCTGCCTCAGTTTCCCCAGCTTTGTGGAAGCTTGGCCTCCCCTCCCCCAGTCCCCTCTCCAGATTCAGGACGTGGCCTGGACTCCTCCTGCCCTCTGGCTCTGTTCCCTCCACCACACCTCGGCGCCTCTACCTCAAACGTGTCCTCCCCTGGCTCCTGGGTCCCCAGCACCATGAATCCAGCTGTGCTGACGGATCGAGGTCCTGGGCCCCACGTGGGGGGCTGGGGTTCACAGTCAGCCACCAGGGTCACCATCCTGCCGTCCACACTGACTGCCACACGGTGCCACCTGCAGCCAGACAGCCTCAGTGGGAAGTGCTCTCCCTGCCGCCCCCACCCCCGCCCCTTGTTGGGCCCCTGTCCTCCCTGTACTCACCTGCCATCTGTGATGTTGACCTGTTGGGGAACGGGACTGGAAGTGTCACCTAGGAGGCCCAGCCCCGGCCCCAGCACCAGTCCCAGCTGCCTGGCTCCATGCTCATTGTAAATGGACACCAGCATGGCAGGCCTGCTGGCTGGCCGACCCCGCAGGGTGGCCAGCACGGAGAAGTTCTCAGGAAAGGTGCCATCTGGTGGGCAGAAGGGAAGGGAGAGCTCAGGCCACCTGGCCATACTCCCACGATGGCCCCAGGCCCTCCCACCCTGACTCACCTGGGAAGAGCTCCCACGTGGGGACACTGGGTGGGCTGGCCTTGCCCACCCTGAATGCCCGGTCACCCTCAGGGGTCCTCTGAGGGCAGAATCCAGGCCCCTCGGGGACCCCAGCCTGGCCCCCACGCATGCCCAGAGCCTTCAGCACATCCACAGGGTCTGCTGTAGAGAGGTGTGGGGGTGGGGGGGTTCACTTAGAACAAGCCCAGACTCCACATGAATGGCTCTGGCTTGGCGGAAGGTGGGGGTGGGGGGTGGGGGGGGTCAGTCCCTCTCCGTGTTTGTGGCTCAGGGGGAAGAAACAGGCCTGGGACGGGCACCCAACCCCCTCCCTGCCCCACAGCTGTTCCGGCCTCATCAGACTGTTGACTCCTGGGTTTTTTTCCCTTGGTTTTTGGTGAGAAGGGGAAAAAAAAAAAAAAAGCTGACCTAGTTCTAGGATGAATCAAAGCTTCCTGGCTAGAGCCCCAGTGCTGATTGTCCCCAACTCCCCACACCCCCGCACCGGTTCTCTGGAGCTCCTTTCCCCCCTACCGCCCCCACGGCCCCCACCGCCACCAGCCCCATGGCCAGGGGGAACTCGCTCTCTGAGAGAAGGGGCTTCCTCTCTATGCTCTTCCCTCCCCCCCCTCCTCCTCCTCCTGCTTCTTGCCTCCTCCCTCTGACTCTCATCCCTACTGACCTCCTCCCTCTGAACTTCTTTCTACCTACGACCTCCTCCCCCTGAACTCCTGCCTAGAACCGCCCCACCACTACCACCACCACTGCAGGTTAGGTCAGACTGCCTCCCTGTGGGACCATCCTCTCTGGCCTTGCTCTGGTGGGCACCAACCTCCTCCCTCGGGCCTTCCCCTTTGACCTCCTTCCTCTGACTTCTCTCTGACTGCCCACTGACCTCCTCCCTCACCTCGTACCATTCTCCTCTGTCTGGCTACCCTGGGACCTCCCCTTCTGGTGGCACCTCTCACCTCTTCCTCCTGGCTGCCTCTCTGATAACCCTTTGACCTCCTCCCTCTGACCCCCCTCTCTCAGCCCAGGAAAGGAAGGAATGGGCTTAGCCCAACCAGGCCCTGAGTCCAGGCCCCCAGCCCAGCTCGAGGCAGCCAGGCCAGCACTAAATGGAACCACATGGCTCGGGCAGGGGCGGGTGGGGGCTTCCCCTGGGCCTAGAGCCCCTGCCCAATCCTGGCTTCCCCCACAGGTCTTCTGTCCCACTGACCCCCTGACCCAGCCTCTTGGCAAGAGCCAGATTCTGTAGAATCTGCCATGACTTCACCCCTGGAGGTGGCTCTGCTGACCTCACCATGGGGAGGCCAGGGGGTGGAGGGAGCCAGGCTTGGGGGTGACAGGGGCTCAGATGAGAGACCCCATCTCAGCTCTTCTTGAATCAGGCTAGTCATTCTCCAGACCCCTCCGGCCCCTGTTCTGCCCTCCGCTCTCTCTTGCCCCCAAACCCCTTGTTTGTTCTCTCCTCTCCCCCTCCCTCCCCTCCTCTCTCTGCCCCATTTCACTGCTGGTCTTTCCAGATCTTTCTCCATGACCAGCTCAGAACCGACCTCCTCCCAGCCCTCTGTGTCTCCCTGGCTCTTCCATCTCTGTCTCTGCATGCTTCTGTCTCTGGACCTCTCGCTCTTTTCCTGTAGATTACTCAGCACCCCTACTCTCCTCCTTCTCAGCCCCCTCCCTGCACCAGGCCCAATCTCTAATTGCTTGCTCTGTGGCTCAGCTATCATTAAGAGGCATTTAGGTTAGAGCCCCCTGGGGCTGAGATCTGGACTCCCAGGCTCTGCTAACCACAAGGGTCACTCCCCTTGGAACCATCTGGAACCATCGTCTGATCCATGACCTGGCCTGGCGTGACTCTCCCAGGCTCTCCCGACCCAGGTTCCGGCCTCGCTGCAGTCAGAGAGGGTCTTCCCCTCACCCGCAAGTCCTGCCCAGCCTCTACCCCAAATGCCTCCTGCTTCAGCCTTGTGTCCCCTTCTGAAGTGACCTTTCAGAGACTGACTGCCCTTTCTTCCCGTCGCTGGCTCTGTGACAAGGAGACACACAAGAGGCATTGAGCTCTGCTTGAAGGGCCAAAGAGGGGGTGTGGGGGGGGGTGTCTGTCAAGGACCCAGCTGCCCTTCCCCCACAGACCGGCCCTTGTCCTGGCCACCCCCACCCCAGAGACTCCGGGTTGAACCTGAGATGTGGAGGGAGGCCAGCCAAGATGTAACATGGCTGGGATGTCCCAGGTGTGTGGGAGCACATAGGTGTGACTGAGTGTGTGTGGAGTGTGTGTGGGGGAGTATGTGCACATGTGCATGCACATGCACGCTGTTGTGTGCGTACATGAGGTCGTGAAGGATGTGTGCATCTGAACGAGCTAGGGAATGGCTGGGCAGATGGCTTGGTAATGTACCAATGTGACCTGGTCTTTGTACCAGGTAACGTACCAACGTCTTTGACCTGGTGCTGAGGTCGGAGAGCCCCGGTGGCTGCTAAGCGAAAGATCTGCAGCTTGAAATCACCAGGCTTTCCTCAGAAGAACAGTAGGGCTGTCTGCCGCCCCTCTACCCGCTAAAGATTTACAGCCCAGGAATCTCTGGGCAGTAGCTCCCCTCTGCCCTAGAGGGTCTCTCTGGGTCAGCTGCATGGCAGGGGGTGGGTGAGACGAGGGGCAGTTACCTGAAAATGTGGCTGTGTGCTCAGAAGGGAAGGTCCTGGTGGTGAATCGTGGGTGGGCGGGGGTGGCTTTTGGAGTGGTGCCGCCATGGCGGGGACTTGGGATGGGAGTTGGTGGTAATGTGTGAGCCTGTGGCGGGGACAGGGCCTGGGCGGCTGGCTGTGAATTTTGACCGGTTGCCTGTGTGCCGTGGGAGTCTGTCAGAACCTGAAAAAGTTGCCCAAATCCCTGACCACGAGCTGGGTGACAAATGAGGTTGTGTGGGCGCAGAACATGGTGTTGGCCTGACGTCCTCGGGGCCTCAAATTCTGAGAGCATGACTGAGACAGCACACACATGCAGACACGTGGGTGTGGGAATGGGCACTGATGCACTTTGGAATTACCCACAAGGGCAGCACCTCCCTGGGCTCAGGAGAAATCTAGAAAGCATGGTTATGGTGGTGGTGGAAGTGGTGAGGGTGATAGTGGAGGAGGCGGTAGAGGAGAGGAGGAGGAGGAAGAGGTGATGGCGGTGGTGGTGGAAGTTGTAAGGGGGGTGGAGGTGGTGAGGGTAGGGGTGATAAGTGGTGAGGGTGATGGTGGTGGTGGT